GATTTTATTAATTACAATTAAACAACACTGAGTTACATAGCCATTCGCGGTAGGAGACCTACAAATTTCTTCAAAGAATTAAGAAAAAAAAATTGACTCAATTAATGAATTTTTTCGCAAGTTACAATCTTTACAGGTTTCATACTTAACGTATTCATACTTCATGAGTATTATTTTTGTTCATATTATTATTATTATTATTATTATTAATTTACGAAATTAAAAATAACAGTCGTATGAATGGGTTTAAAATTTTATTAAAAAAGGAGATTAAGATATTATTTGGATACTTAGATAAAATGTAATTAAATATATTGAAATGTATTTTTTAAATGTGTAAATTACGTACGATTATAGACGATTGATGTATGAATATAGCTTTAGCTAAATATCAATAAACATTATTATTTTAATTTCTTTTTACTTATGTATTTTTAGCAATTTTTTTTAATCATTTGGATTTGTGGTCACGTGGTCAAAAGGAGAATTATTTCCATGATCAATAAATAAATAAATAATGGAGGAGAAAATTTTTTTAAACTATTATGATGTTTTTTTCTATTTCTATTGCACTAAATTAATTTTTGAAAAGTATGGAATTAATCTCCTTTAAATTATCTTCACATTAATATGTAAAATATCTTGATTTCATGAACTAACAGGGGTATAATAATAAAAATAGTTGCCGAAATAAAGCGAAAAAAATTTGTTGATCGTAAAAAACACTCTCTGATGCTTCGTATCATGAGTCGTACAATTATTGAAAATTATCAACAAATTAATTTTCTTATTACAATATTACTCGTTTTTTTCAAATGAACGTTTTTTCTCAATTTTAGTAAACTAAAAAGTGGTAATTTATCTTTTGTATTCATTTTTTAAGGCCCTTTGGGAGCTAAGGCTTTAGGGCCTAAAATTTTGATAAATAATAAGCAATAAATAAAATAAATAAAAAGAGTTTAAAAAATGTTTTTTCTCACCTTTTAAAAATAAAGTAAATTATATTTCATTGGAAATTTTAAAGAATAAAAATCTTAGTTTATGTAAATAATTTAATTGTAGAGCGTTAAAAAAATTTTCCATCAAGTTTGAAGTAGAGATTTTGATAATTAATATAAACACTAATAAAATTAAGATTCCTGTTTACAAGCCATAAAAATAATCTTGATTATGTGGATTATCGTTTCTTAATTTTTATGTTAGTGCGAAAAAATCTCACTGTTTTTTTTTTATCTACGTCTAAAGTAAATAAATTATTATGTAACAATTTAAAGAGCTACGACATTTAATCGTATCATGTATAAAAACAAAACTTAATTTTTAGGTAAATAATGTATTATGAAAAAATTGGGTGTATTGACTAATCGACTATATATAGACTTTTATTAATTAAAAAAATTAACGCGCATTAATTGTTGATATTATAAATTACTAAAATTAAATTGATCGTTGGGATAAAAGTTTTGCTAAATATTTCTCTTTTTTTATTAAAAAAGAACGATGATCACAAATAAAATTTTAAATTTAAATATTTTTATACTTTTTGATGTATAAAACATTAAAAACTATTATTTCAAATATATTTCTTCTTTCCCAGATCATTAATTTTTAAATTCAAAGTCTAAAAGCTTGGCGGTTGATACTGCGTAACATCTATAGGTGTTTTAATTTCCTCATAAAATATAATGTATAGGAGAAATATTAAGACATAAGAAACATAAAGAAAACCAACAACTCATAAAAAATAAGATACTTTACATAAGACACTTAATTTAACAGAGATTTTTATAGCGGAAAGATAAAAATTCTATTAAAAGAATTGCAGTTTTCAAAAATAAGATTCTATTAGTAAAGCTGAGTCTTTTCGAAATAATTTTAAATCTTTTTATTTCTAAGGAAATTTTCAAGTTTACAATTTTTTTTGACAAAAAAAAATCTCAATTCACACGTGACTTTGAAGGAAAAAAAATTTAATTGATTTTAAATTTAAATATTTTTATACTTTTTGATGTATAAAACATTAAAAACTATTATTTCAAATATATTTCTTCTTTCCCAGATCATTAATTTTTAAATTCAAAGTCTAAAAGCTTGGCGGTTGATACTGCGTAACATCTATAGGTGTTTTAATTTCCTCATAAAATATAATGTATAGGAGAAATATTAAGACATAAGAAACATAAAGAAAACCAACAACTCATAAAAAATAAGATACTTTACATAAGACACTTAATTTAACAGAGATTTTTATAGCGGAAAGATAAAAATTCTATTAAAAGAATTGCAGTTTTCAAAAATAAGATTCTATTAGTAAAGCTGAGTCTTTTCGAAATAATTTTAAATCTTTTTATTTCTAAGGAAATTTTCAAGTTTACAATTTTTTTTGACAAAAAAAAATCTCAATTCACACGTGACTTTGAAGGAAAAAAAATTTAATTGAATCAAATAAATTTGAGTTGAAAAATTCTTTAACTAAAAAGTTTTTTTTTATTTAAGTAAATTTTACTTGAATCAAAAATTTTGAGTTTTTATTCAAGACTATTAAACTCTTCAAAATTATTTTCTTGGTTTAAAAATTTTTCTCTTGATTTAAGTTTATCATTTTTTTAATTTTAAATAATTTATTTCGCGAAATTCACTACGTTATTAAGAATTGATTAAACCACTGCATCTGTTTTGTTTTTTGAAAGTTTTACAATCCAAACTTTTGATATTTTGATGTTAAAAATACAAGATCTGTAATTTAAAGATATCTGATAATATTTTTTATTTTAATAATTACTAAACTATAAAGTAAAAATTAAAAAAAAAAAATTCTATATCTAGAAATTAAAAAGAATTACAAACGAAAATTAAAAAAAAATTTTTTTTCTATAATTGATTTATTAAAAAAATTTTGATAAAAAAATTTCTTATGTAGATATTTGAAACTAACAACCCTGTAGTCACTATGTGACTTGTAAACTATAAATAAACAATGATTTTGCTTAATTAGATGACTTTTGTTAAATAGTATGGTAGTTTCTTAACTATTGACATTTTTAAAGATATAAGCTCATCCCGATGTTATATTCATCACGAACTTTCATTTGAGTACCCACATGCATTTTGATATATATTTTTCATATATACATATATATAATATATATAAATATATAAAAAATTAATGTAGGTACTCAAATGAAAGGTCTCGATGAGTGTAACATCAGAATGAGCTTATATCTTTAAAAATGTCAATACTTCACAAGATAAATGGTAACTTCTTAACTATTGACCTTTTTAAAGATATAAGCTCATCCCGATGTTACACTCATTACGAGCTTTCATTTGAGTACCCACATGCATTTTGATATATTTTTCATACATACATATATATAATATATATATAAATATATAAAATATATGAAAGAACTAGAAAAAAAGGAAAAGTTGCTAATAGAAAAGTCCAGATATAACGAGTTTTACAAAGATATATTACAAGAAAGTGAAATCAGCTATTGGAAAAAAGATAGAATTAATAGTGAGTACAAAGAGGTATGGGCAAGAACGAGATTTGGAAATCTGTGGAGAAGCGGAAAAAAAGGGCAAAAGAATTGGGAATGCAGAATATGCAAGAAAGAGGAGGAGACACTGATGCATTTATTAAGCTGTTCAGAGATAATGGAAAAAATAAGTGAAAAAGGGCAACAAGCAAGATACAAGTGGATGGAAGAACTAGAGGGGGAATTAACAAGAGAAAGATTAGTGATAATTTTAAAAGGGGAAATAAATTGGAAGCTGTGTATATATGTTAGAGAAATGGAAAAATTATTTAAGGAAATTGAGTAGTATTACAATATTGAATGTCAGAAAAAGGCTGTCATTAATATACAGGGATGGATACTAGAAATAAGTATAAAATAGTATTAATAGTATTGTAATGCGACTGTGATATGAAGGATGAGGTGGGTGAAAAGTTAAAAGAGAGTAAAAGCAGTTGATTTTTAAGCCAAAAATAGTGTATATGCAAATGTAAATAAATAATTTAAGATACAGTTTTGTAAAACGCAATATGTGATACAAATAAAAACGATATTCTATTCTATAAAATATATGAAAGTTGATGTGGGTACTCAAATGAAAGGTCTCGATGAGTGTAACATCAGAATGAGCTTATATCTTTAAAAATGTCAATAATTCACAAGATACAAGGTAATTTCTTAATTATGAATCTAGAGATTTTTGAATACAGCCTAAATACTTATCATAATAAATTGACAATCATTGAAAATGATATAAAACCTTGAAAAGGCACAAATTCAATCTGACCTTTACAATGACACTAAATTTAACTAAAAAAACCGATTTTATCATGACTATCCTAAACCCAAAATTTTTCTTATTCCCTCAATAATATAGATAATTAAAGTACAAATTAAAAAAATTTCCTTATAATTAATTTATAAAAAAAGAATATAGTAAAATTAAATTGTTTTCAAAATATATTTCACTTTATAATTCAAATTCCGCAAATAAACTCAATTGATATAAAAAACTTTCTTACCTTCAATTAATACAGTAATAAACTCCATTATAATTCTCCTCTTCTTAAAAACTTCCAATTTCACCCACCAGAGGGCTTGTTATTGTAAGTTCTTTGTTTATATCCACTCCAACACAAAGCACGTTTTTTTTTTGTCTCTCTACATCAACACAGTGCCTTTTACCGCCAAAAGTAATATAAACAATAAATAATGTCATTGTTAAATTTACTAAAATTAAATTTCACCTGTGTATTTAAAAACTATCAAAATTAATTATCCACCCAAGATTGTCATCACCCGGTAAGTAACAATAAAACTTAAATAATTATTCACAACTTACAAAATAACAATATTAAAAATAACAATTAATTTTTAAACAAAACAAACAACAACACTATTTAAAATAATAAATATTTTTCAGCCACCATATTAAAATTCTCAGTTTAAAAAAAATTAAAAAAAAATTGAGGTTAAGAAATGTCAGTGGAGGCGTCAATAGTAGAGCGGCTCCAGGAATTACGTAAGTGGCAACTAGACCAGCAAGACCGTTTACTAAAACAGCAGCAAGAACAGCGCGACTTATTAAACATCGAGCAAAAACGTATGTATGAAGCTTTGGGTTTATCTATTGACGACATAAATGATAATTTAACGGACGAGATGTCTCTGACAAAAATTCAGGAACATTTAGAGTCTCTCCCAAGCACTGGTGACAAATCAGACGCTTTTGACGAGTCTTCTCAATATAAATCCTTTCAAATTACCGAAATAAAACAACCGGGTGTTATAAATTCAACCCAATCATCTTCATCTTCTGACGAATTTTCTGAAAAAGAAAAAGAAATTGAAGAAGATAATTTTAATTTATCAGTAGAAGGTGTTAAACCTTTTCCAAAAAGATTTTCCACTGGAAGCATGCGTATTGATGATATACCAGTGCCTTCTCCTAAAAAGGACTTTAAAACTTTGTTAGAAGAAAAATTAAAAGATTCTGAAGCACTGGGAGAGAATTCCGGGTCAAAAACTCCGAAAGTTATTAAAAAACAGCCTTTTTTACGCAAAGGCGAAGGATTAGCGCGCTTTAGATTGAATAAAACTCCAAATATAGAAAAAGTTCCTAGAACTCGTGCTAAATCTCTCCCTCCTATTGTAAAAAATACTTACTGTAAATCATCTGCTGTTAATAGAGTAACTAATCAAAAGCCGAAAGAAAAAATCACTAAGATTAATAAAAATAGCGGAATTTCACGGCGTAGTTATCCGCTTCCTAAAGTCGCGCAGCAGAAACTTAATTTAAAAAATGTTCCGTTGCCAAAAAATATTATTCGAAGATCAATTTCACCTTTGACAAAAAAATCTTCAGTTTTTCCTCCTAAAAATACAACAAAATCTGTTGCGGTTGCACAAAAAATTAGCGATGTAAAAATACCTGCTGCTGATGAATCGGATCTTGATTCTTCAAAATTAGAAACGAAAATGTTTGAATTTTTGGAAGAAAAAGCCGAAAATTCAAGCTTCTGTTCAACATCTAGTGCAGTTGTTGCTTTTTTACAACAATCTACTCCGCTTAAATTGAAAAGTATTAGGAAGAATTTAGTTATGAGAAAACAAGAGTCGCAAGAAAAAAAAAGTAGAGTTATTGATGATGAAATTGAAGAATTGGTACATTCATTAAAATCTAACAAGCTTGAAAAATTAGCTAGTGATAAATCTAAGAAAAATTTTGGGCAGTTTAGTAATGAAGGTTCTATTGATAATAATATTTCTAGTACTCCTAAATTATCTAAGAATAATTTTACAGAAAGAAAGTTTCTTGGTCAGAAATTAGAGGGTAATTATGGAGGTGAAGAAAAAATAGAAGAAATAGGGATAGAAAGTGATAGCGAGTCGGAAAAAAATTATGAAGATAGTCAAAGGTTCAAACTTGAGGATAAAAATTTGAGGGATCAAATTAATGATGGAGTTAATGATGATGGAAGTATGCATGTTAGATTTTCTGAATATAATGAATATAAAATGATTGGGTTAACTGATACCTCAACAATTTCAAGGGATTCTTTTATTGATGATAAAAATTGGACTGATGATTCTAGTGTTGAATCTTCAGAGGTTGAAATTTTGACTTCAAGAAATTTTAACGAAATTCAGAAGCATAATTTGGGGAGTGAAAGAGATGATAGAGATAAAAATAGAGTTTATGAGAGTACTGATGATGAGGAATCAATGTTTAATGAAACAGAAAGCACTGTTGATGAAAAAGATGATACTATTACGGAAATAAAAAATTCTGTAGATAATTTGAGGACTTGGAATGCAAAAAATGAAGAATTTGATCATTTAGGTGAAAATAATGAAGAATTTGATAGTTTAGGTGAAAAAAATGAAGGTTTTGGTAATTTAGTTTCAAAAAATGAAGACTATAATAATTTAGAAGAGAAAAAGGAGCTAGTTTTAAAGTCAGAGCTTTTAAAAAATAGATTATTAGAGTTAGAAAGAGAGATTGAAATTTTTAGGAAAGAAAATGCGGCTTTGTCGGAAAAGCGTCAAAAATTGGACCAAGAGCGACGTGATTGGGAGAAAGAGTTGAAGGAGAAGGAGGATAATTTAAGGAGAGAGCAATCGGAGGCTGAGAATAATATTCAGGAGGAAAAAAGACGGATGATTCGTGAGAAAGCTGCTCTTGAAAATAGGCTTAGAGATGCGAGGGAAAAAAGTATTCAGGCGAAGCAAGATAGGCAGGAAATTGAACGGCTCAAAGATCAGCTTGCGGAGCTTAGGGATGATTTTAGTGAAAAGGAGAATCTTTGGTTAACTGAACAGGCTAGACAACGAAGTCAAATTAGGGTTTTGCAGATGGAGAATGGAAAATTGAAGCAGGAAATTTCTAAGTTTCAAGAAAGCCGGCAGAGTAGATTGAAGAAACCTTCTTCTGGTGTGTTGCAAGCTAAAAATTCTAATAAAATGGAGGTGAAGAAAATTACTTTTGATGATCAGGTGGAGAATAATTTGCGGGAAAAAGATCAAGAACTGGAGCGTGTTAAATATTCACCGGATAGAATTTCAAGTTCTAATTCTAATAGAAATTTAATTAAACCACCTGCTGATGTTTTGAAGAAACGTGAGCTTTATAAAAATTTAATTAAAGAAGCTGCGGGGGAATATTATGAGGAAGATATTGAAAATATTCCTGAGAATATTGTTAAAAGTCCGGATAAAATTTTAAGCTCTAATTCTGATGGAAATTTAATTCATCAATTATCTGCTGAAGATGTTTTGAAGAAACGTGAGGCTTATAAAAATTTAATTAAAGGGGAATATTATGAAGATATAGAAAATATACCTGAAAATATTGTTAAAAATCCGGAAAAGCCAAAAATATTGACGCCAACTTACAGAAAAAATAAAACAGTTCAAGATAATTTTTTGAATAATTCTAATAATTTTTCTACACAGTCTACACAAACAAGTTTAGAGTTGAAAAGTACTGTTGAAAAAAATGATATTAATAAACGAATTCCGAGATTGATTAGTGAAGATTTGCAACTTCCTCATGGATCTTATCAGCAGTTTGTTCGTGAAGTGATAAATCCAGTAACAACTCAGTATTCTGAAGGTAATGATGGTCAGGACTCTAGACAAGTTCAACAGGAAAGTCCCTTGAGAGTTCCAGTTAGTTATTTAAAGGAAGCTAGAAGAAGTCCGGAAGTTAATGGACTTCTTCAGGGAAAACAAACGCCTAATTATGTCGCAGACAGACGGATTGATCAGACGAAGTTTGTTGATGGCAATGAATCGGATATTTCTCCGAGGGTGGAGAAAATTCCGCTACCTAGACCAACGGATAGTGTGATGCCCTGTCCGAGTTCGTTTCAAATTAGTTGTGTGTCTAATTTGACGGGTCAGGAGAAAATTTTTGTGCCTAAGCAAAATGTCAGGGAAGTTCTGCATCCAGATGGACGTTTGGAGTACTGGTATCCTAATGGAAATGTTAAGAAGGTTTTTCCGGATAGTAATACCTCGAAGATGATCTATTATAATGGAGATGTACGGGAAACTCTTCCGGATGGTTGTGTTAAGTATTTTTATGCTGCTACTAAGACTTGGCAGACTACTTTTCCAGATGGATTTGAAATTATGGAGTTTCCTGAGTAAGTATTTTTTTTTTTAAGGTTTTTTTAGGGTTGAATTTTGGATCATTAGAAAGGTCTTGACCTAAAGTTGTGCCTTTTCATGATTTCATATCATTCTCACCAATAGTCAATTTATGATGATAAGTATTTAGGCTGCATTCGAAAATACTCTATTTCTAGATTCATAATTAAAAAATGACTTTGTATCTTGTGAACTATTGACATTTTTAAAGATATAAGCTCATCCCGATGTTACACTCATCAAGACCTTTCATTTGAGTACCCACATCAATTTTTCATATATTTTATATATATTATATATATGTATGTATGAAAAATATATCAAAATGCATGTGGGTACTCAAATGAAAGCTTTTGATGAGTGTAACATCGGGATGAGCTTATATCTTGAAAAATGTCAATAATTAAGAACTTACATTGCTATCTTGTAAACTATTGACATTCTTAAAGATATAAGCTCATCTCGATGTTACACTCATCAAGAGCTTTCATTTAAGTACCCATTTGCATTTTTGATATATTTTTCATATATATATATATATATATAAAAACTGATGTGGGGTACTCAAATGAAAGGTCTCGATGACTGTAACATCGGGATGAACTTATTTCTTTTAAAAAATGTCAAGTTCATCCTGATGTTACACTCATCAAGAGCTTTCATTTAAGTACCCATTTGCATTTTTGATATATTTTTCATATATATATATATATATATAAAACTGATGTGGGTACTCAAATGAAAGGTCTCGATGACTGTAACATCGGGATGAACTTATTTCTTTAAAAATGTCAATAGTTCATGAGAAACAAGGTCATTTTTTAATTATGTATCTAGAGATAGAGCATTTTCGAATGCAGCCTAAATTCTTATTATCATAAATTGACTATTAATAAGAATGATATGAAACAATGAAAAGGTACAACTTCACGTCATGACTTCTCTAACGATACACAAAATTTTGCTTATTCTCTTAATAATATAGATAATTCTTTATTTTAAATTAATTAAATTCCAGCGGTCAGCAAGAGAGGAGAACTAAGGATGGTACAATTGAAGTCTCGTTTCCGGATGGTTCAATTCGGCTGGTGCAACCGGATGGTATTACCAAATGGGCATTACCTGATGGCACTATTGCCGAAACATTTCCAAATGGCGATAAAATACTTTCACTCCCGAATGGACAACGTGAAATACACACTGCTGATCACAAGGTATCATCAAAGAAAGTCAAAAATAAATAAAATATCCAAATGTGTAGTTAAAAAAAATTAATTGTAAGATTTTAAATTAACTGTATGATTTTTTTTTAGCGACGTGAATATCCAGATGGAACGGTTAAATTTGTTTATAATGATGGAACGCAAGAAACGCGATATGCCAATGGACGAATTCGTATTAAAGATAGGGATGGACAACTTTTATTTGATTCCCATCATCCTGAGAATTAATATTTAAAGCAGTGATCCAAATACTTTTAAAAATTGATAAGTATTTTAGAAAAAATAATTAATATTTATTAATAAACAGTAATAAGTAATAATTGAATAATTTATATAAATGATTGTTCCTCAAAGAAGACTGTATTTACATAAATATCTTATTAGACGACAATACTGTTGTACAAAATAAGTATCATATTTTTTTTAAAAATGTACATAAAAATATTTTCATTGATACTTGTTAAAATATATTGATATGATAATTAATTTTTAACCAAGCAATTTATTGTCAGTAATATTTATGAATAAATCTCTTTTTTATTATTTAAGATCCACGCGAAGTAATCAAATTTTTAAAACTTCCTGAAAATTTTTTAATTTAATCTACGTAGCCTAATAGTTAACAAAAAAAAAAAAATAGTAGATTTCCGGGATATTTAATCAAATAATTAGGTTTGAAAATTGTAATTTAATTGAAAAAATAATAAGCTTTCGATTAAAACAATAAAAATAAATTTTGAGTTTAGGGAACTCTTTGCTCAGTGCTATATTTTTTATTAATCAATTAAGAACTATTTAATGGGTAAATTTATCGGAAATTTCCTTAAAAATGTTATTAATTAATTAAAAAATTTATTTTAAGATGCATAGCAAAAATATTCCTACGTATTATTTACACTAGGAGGGTACTTGGATCTATAATACTTAAGTTAGCCGACGTTTTTAATTTTTTTTCATTAAATAAATTGAAATAAAAAATATTTTTTAAAAATTGCACATGAAAATTTTTTTTTTATTTTTTTATAATAATTTTTTCAATAAAAAAAAAATTCTAAAAATTTTCAGATGTCGGCTAATTTATGAAGATTAAATTAGCCGACGTTTTTAATTTTTAATTTTTTTTTATTGATTAAATTAGAACAAAAAAATATTTTTAAAAAATTGCACTTACAGTTTTTCAAGATTTTTACACATGAAAATTTTTTTTAATTTTTTTAATGAAAAAAAATTCTAAAAATTTTCAAATGTCGGCTAACTTAATTTTCATTTTGGATCTCCTTAATTATCGGACGTTCGAGTACATTTTTCAATCATGGTAGCCAATTCGCGAACCTGCCTATCTAAAGGTGTACTGTCTGACAGATCCTGATCTTGATAAGTAGACACAACATTCAAAACTTGACTCATAGGCAGTTCATTTCTAACTTTGCTACTCCTCGGTGGCAAATCATCAGGATTTATATCATGAAGACTAAGCAATGCATTTTTATAACTAACAATTGTATAATCAAGACCGTCTAATGGAGAAGTGGCCCATAAAAAATTTTCTATATAATGTAAGTCTGTAATCAGCCTAGTTGGCCGTGATTTAACTATCACGTAGACAAGCAACGATGTCAAATCATCAGTTGAAATCATTTTTACAGACTTGCTATCTTCAGCCAAATCATTGGACTCTATTTGAGATTCAATGTCCGCTAATGCGCCCTTAACTTCTGCGGTAATAAGATCTAAAGTGGTCTTCAGGCAGAATAACTTTTCAAAGGGCGCTCGACGAGCATCTAGCGTAGCCAATTCAACAATTGCAGATGGCATTGAAATGGCAAATGCTTCAGAAACTCCCAATTGATCAGGAGTAACTCCGGCATTTATTAACTTTGTTATTTTATCTTTAATATAAAAGTCATCTTGCTCCAGCGCGTTGCTTAATAATGAGTAAATTCCGTCATGAAGATGATGCATGATAAATAATTCTAGTGAAAAACTGAGCAACTTTTGAAAACGTCCATCGCTCTGGATGTCTAATTTAAAAAGATTCATTATGTTTACCCAGTGGCGTTTTATCCAACTTTGAATTACATCTCCTAATTCACTAGCTGAGTCGTACTTGTCAATATCTATACAATCTATGTCATCCTTCAAGTGTGATAATTGATAACTACAGATCCTTGATACTTCATAGAGAAAATCCAAAGCCCTGAAATTATAATAATAATAATAATAATAATAATAATAATAATAATAATTTAATTTAAATCAATTTTTGGCTTCGACTTTAAATTAGAGAGACATTGAAAATCAATGTTTGATGAGTTGGTTACATGATGAAGGTTTTGAGTTGCACTTAAAAGGAATTTATAGGTCTATTGAAGAAGTCGATGTCTTGGTGAAGTTTGTTGGTAGTTTTTAAAATACGATTTTGTCTAAGATTATGCTTATTACTTTTCATTAAGGGCCAGTTTTTCAATCCAGGATAAAATTTTATCCAATGATTAAATATATCTATATATAAATATACTGGCATTAATAATTTTATCATGGATAAAATTTTATCTAGGATTGAAAAACTGGCCCTAATATTTGATCTTATTAACAGCTCGCTGGTAGATACTCACTCTTTGTAAGACGTAATTGAATTATTTAATTCAAGTTGAGTTGCATCATGTGACACAGTGGTGTTGGTATATTTTTCATGCAACAGTCTATTTACAAAAACAATAGTGTACTCTTCATTATCACTACCTTTTTCGGTACTTATAATCTGAACTTTATGCGGCACTGGAGATAAAATTATTGAGTCTTCGTTTTTTATCATCAAATGTATGACATCGCCATCGAATTTATAGATTCTTGATTCTTGGGCGCCAGTGGAGACGTAGTGATCTGGTAATTCTGGTAATGGTTTCAAAATGTGTTCGTCTGAAATTATAAATTTTATTTTTTAATAGTGAAAAAAAATATTAGTGATTAATTAATTAGATTTATAAATTACATTGCAGTCACTATGTGAACTTTGAATAAATAAAATTTTGTTTTATTAAATAATGAATTTTATTAAATTGCACTCTACTTTATTAAATAATGAAGTTTTTAAAGATATAAGCTCATCCCGATGTTACACTTATCAAGAGCTTTCATTTGAGTACCCACTTGCATTTTTGATATATTTTTCATATATACCATATTATAAATA